GGGGGGGGGCCTTTCAAACCTACACCCAGAGTCTCAGAAACATGTATGTGAACAAGACATACCACCTCATCACTATCACACCGACACCTGGGCCCGAAGCTTGAAATCTTGGGATCCCATAAAACACCAAACTAGACAAACCCCAAGCCCTACAGCCCCCCCAAATCGCTCAACCCAAAACTCTACAGGGAGAAGGAGCTGGAAGACATCGAGATGGGTGGCTCGATGGGGCCCAAGATCAAGAAGACCGTTAAGCTCAAGACTGGCAAAGCTCTGTGGAATCAGGCTTGTTGCCGGTACTTAAACCCTAACACCTTAACCCCAAACTCTGAGAAACCCCCAGCCATGCACCCAATCATTTTAAAATTTCGGCACGATTATACGTCAGGCATTGGCAGGAGCCAAACGACTCTTGAAGGAGTGTGAGGGCTGGGCGAAGATGCTGTCTGATGCCGGGGTGTGTCTAGGCCGTAAACAAGTCTTGCTGTGCTGGCTGTAGATCTACCTATAGTTTGTTTGCCCATGTAATATGATTGCTCCTGTCGTTCTACCTAAGCCGAAACCCGCCACCCCCACCCCTAAAACTCGTAGGATTAAACTTATCACATCCGAGGCCCCAAGCCCTAAACCCCAAATATCCCTTCTGAGGAAGTCGGGCTTGCGAAAGGCCTTGCTGGAGGACGGGCAGCCAGCCGTCGACGCCTTGCAAATCGCAGTCGATTCAGGGGAGGCTGAGCTCAAGGATGTCGGAGAAGCAGATGCTGAGCTTTTCGAAGCGCGGGCCAAGGACTCGTACGTAACTATTATCTATCTGTAATAATGTTGTATCAGGTTCCTCCCCTCTATAAATTGTAGATCCAGGATTTGTTGCTCGTGGTGGAGTCCTGCAAGAAGGAGGATGCGATTGTCAAGAAGAATATTAAAAAGAAACCAGAGGGCGGTGGGAACAAGCCCTCGGCAAAGAGGGTTGCCAAGAAGAAGTGATGATCATGTCTCACTGTCCCTGATCAGAGTGAGCCTCAGCAGCAGCTGTCGTCGGGTGCGAGAGTCCAACCTCGGCCGATCTTGCCAATCCCGGCTTCTTCTAGATCTCAACCTAGAGGTGCTGCTAGCCATTATCCAACTACTCAATCAGTCGTAGGCCCTTCCCGGTCCCGAATGACCTAAAACCCCTAAGCCCTAAAGCCCTACACCCCGAACTTCTATGTCAATCCCCAAAGACAGAATTGCAGCTACAAGTGTTGTTTCATAAATCCATGGGCCGGGCTTTGAGGCTTGAACTCTCCATGATTCTGGGTTTTGATCCCAGGATGCGACTTTTGAAGTTGCTGATGCCTAGTGGCCTTGGAGTGCGAGTGTGTTTGCACATTCATTTACGTTATCGAGGCTGCATGCGAGATGCCGAACAATCAGTTGTCCTCCAGTAAACGGAATGTCTGATGTTATATGACGAGCTATTATAATTAATATCTTGCAACCCCGGCCCTTCGCAGATCTTGCTGAGCACCGTGCCAACATCCATGGTTCATTCGCAGCATCAGTGTGCCTCGTTTTCAGTATTGGGATTTGGAAGGTGCTCTAGCTGGTTAGAAGGATGAGGGGCTCTTGACTGCAGCTCAGGTTGGTTGATGTCGGGTATGGGAAGAAAACAGCTCGTGAAGCTGTTCGTGCAGCAAAGGCAGCAGTTCAGGACAAGTGTGGAGTTTTGCTGGGTCCAGTTTGGGGTGGTATAGACTTTGCAGAGTATATGTCTGGTCTAGGGTGGTGCGTTCTTGCGAGTTTAGGGGCTTAGGGGCTTAGGGGTTTACGGGTTAGGGTCTGGGTTTTTGGTCGAAGTATGTCTGGTCTAGGGTGGTGTCCCAAATAGATGAGACCTCTGCAGTTTTCACGTTCTCGCAGGTTTAGGGTTTAGGGGCTAGTTAGGGGTTTAGGGGTTATCGAAGTATGTCTGGTCTAGGGTGGTGTCCTAACTAGATGAGGCCTCCGTGGTCAGCACGTTCTCGCTGGTTTAGGGTTTAGGGGCTCTGGGGTTTAGGGGTTGGGTCTGGGTGTAGGGTTGAGGGTTAAAGGTTTAGGGTTTAGGGGTTTGGAGGTTTAGGGTTGATAATTATAACAAAAGTTACAAAGCCATTTGCAAGAACTCCTGAACAATGTAGGTTTGCATAACGATGGTCAAACCCTTTGAAAGCGCCAGATATTGCCTATATACGGTTTCCTTTTTGATCCCGAGTGACCAATGCGAGTCTTATATTATAATATATGAAACCCAATAGGTCCTTCCATACCCTCGTTGCTCCAAACTCTCAAGCCCGCGGTTTTATCAGCCATCAGCCTCTATACTGTTTTACCCATAATAATTACCCTTAGCCGAAAACTATTATTATGACTCTCCCAAACTCCAGACCGAAAGCCCCAATCCGAAGCCAGGCTTGTGAACAAGTTGTTTCGGGATGCAGGCTTCATCGTACACTATAAAAGCTATACTCTGTGTGCTTGTCTGGTCTTGGAACTCTTGCACCCTTGGAACACTATGGCACAAACTCTGGGGATACGATTGTGTTCGCGATTGAGGTATTGATGGCCTCCAGAAGTAGGGGCGGTAGAACATAGTTACATGACTTCTGGGTTGTTGCTTCGTGTAATACGAAAGGCATTCCTTTCTTGATGCTGTGATTTCAGGGGGAAGAGCATCAAGTTGTATTGCTAGTCCGCTTGTTCTCGGAGTCATGGAATTTGCACCCTTCTGCAACATCGAGCTCCGGCCAACCCGTCACAGGATGCTCCATCATCATCATCCATGGTCACATGTCGCGGGTGTGCAATCTGTGTCGATGAGGCGATGATGACATGACGACTGGGCTTTCTAGATGGCATACGGAAGCAAACAGCGATGGGAGGACAAGTTCTAAAACGATCGATCCGGATCCGTTTTGCATGGCATTGGTTGAGTGATCTGGGAGATGGACGAAGAACGAACGATGATAGATTGCATGTCGCGAGTCTCATACTCATTCGCACGAACCCATGATTTCCATGACGTTTCTTCTTATAGGGTCTAGTGAATCTACTAAGACTGATGATGATACTGCAGTCCAGCAACTATAACTAGACCCCTATACCCTATGCTGCTCTTTCTCTGTGATGTCAAGGACTAGGAAGTCAGGAAGCCAAAGCCCCAAAACTCTGAATCTCTCCCAGCCAGATGATGAGTCTCGAGCCGCCTATCGCCGAATCCGACGAAAGCATCGCATGTGCACATGGTCATGTCATCTAACGGGTTTGTGCACTTCAAGTTGGACCGTCCGCAACGAACCCTGGCTTGTTGCTGTATCTGCTACATGTGGAGCTTGAAGCCGCGAGGAACTGTGAACGTCTGGGCGGTTTTGGCTTGGCTTGCTATATATCCGGGCATGCGGTTTTCTGGTATTCCATTGAGGGTTAGGGCGGTTAGGGTTTTTTTTTCCGAAAGAAGCCTGTGGCCTCAAGCAGAAACTGCTGTACAGAACCACGAAACTCTTGGTGCGAGATCTTGTCTTTGCACGCAGGAGTCTGGCAGCGAGAACGTGTCAGCTGCAACCCGGGCTCTCGCAGAGATGGGCGGCAGCTCTCTGAAGAACTCCAGCCGGGACCTCTACAGGTTCGTGCGGCTTCCCGTGGCTTCTTGTTGGCACCAATCGAATAGTAAGCAGCAGGCGAGTCCCCAAGTTGCTGCTTCGCATCAATTGTGAAAGGCACTCACCTATGTCGATTGCATCACCAAGAAAGAGCCTACAAGTGATGAAACAATGACACGCAAGCTCTGCATGTACGACCCACATGAGCTCTTAGACTATTTGTGGGCCACCAAAAAAATCTATGTGCCCGATGATGCCATACGGTGCCTCGTCTGTCCCTTGTGTTTGTTGCAGGGCTTTAGGGCCCACAGGTAGGAAGACTCTATCCCTCCCCCGCACTGTCGCGAGGAAGTATTGGGAGCACTTTCGCAAGCTGGGTGTCCCTTGGAGCTTGCAACACCCAGCCAAAGGGGATGAGTTGCCGATATCTGTGCCTCCCTGAAATTTAGGAGTTTGTCTCTCTACGTTGTGTGATTCTAGAATGCCCTGGATGACAACATGCAACTGAGTTGTACGGGGATGAAGCAGCTTACTCCAGCTTGCACGACAAGTTCCTTGGTTTGGTTTTGTCGTCGCCGCTCTACAAGCCGAAGGGCTTCTTGGTGCATCGAGTTTGGGGACGTTTGTCATGCAACCTGGAACCGTGTTTGCGGAATCACCTAAGGAGTGCCGTCATGGAAGAAGTTTTTTCTTTTCTTCATCGTGTCCGACAAGCTACACTTGGGACCTGTGCCCAGACAGCAATGAAGTCTGTCAACAGCGAGGGTTGGATGCAGAGAGGTGTCCGTAATTTGTTATAAATGACTTCTTCCGCTTCGTACGTCGCCGCCTCTCAGCCACAGCTCCTGTCGCTACATCAAGCAAGATAGTCTGAGGTGACGCTTCGACCCGTTCTTTTGCGGGCGGTCTGGTCCTTGAACCTGGCGCTGCAAGGGCGCCGGCCAGGCAACTCACGACCCCTGTCGATGAAGTTCGCCACATGCGAGATGAAAGGAGACTGGAAATGGTTTGTCGAAACCTTCGAAGTTCGTCAGTGGTACAACTGCAACAGAATCTGCCACAGATGCAACGCAGCAAACACAGCAAGCAAGGGCCCGCTTTTTACCGACTTCGGGACTGCCTTCCGACAGATCGACACAATGGCTTTTATCAATGAAGTGCTGCCAGAGCAGCCATCTCCATTGGTTCTGTTGCATGGCTTTCACGTGCGATGGTTGCGGTGGTGCCTCATGCACAACCTGAATTTGGGAATATTTCAAGTAGAGACTGCAGAAGCATTGCTTCTTTTGGCAGAGACAGCATGCCTCCACGACCCGAGCCTGACGATGCAAGGTGCTTTGAAGCAAAGCTATAAGGCTTTCAAAACTTGGTGCCGTGCCGAGAAGGTTTCATGCACAGTGCGACCGTGGAAGATCACACATTTCCATTTAGGCAAACATCCAGAGCAACCGACAAAACACCCTTGGGTCAATTTCAAAGCTTATAATGCCCGCTGTGTTTTGGCATTTCTTGCAGCTGCTCGGGCTAATTGCAACTGTTGCTATGTTGTTCAAGCTTCCATGTTCTGGTAGTTAGGTCAGGTTTTTGCTTGATAAGCACGAATGCTTAGGCTGCCCTTTCAGCTGGCGAATTTCTGCAACAGTTGGAGCAGCTGCCGAACGAGCCACTTGAGACGTGGAAAGCACGTGCTCGCTCGGGGCGACTAGCTGTTGAAGCGGTGTGGCTTGCCTGATAACACTTACAGGGTTTTTGTGTCTGCACAAATGCTGCATCCGTCTGTACAAGGTGCCGCCTGGCTGACTGGCAAAATCGGCTCGAGAACTACGGAAGGTACCTCACCAAGGAACAAGCCCAAGATCTGCATCACAGAGGCCTGGAGCCTTTCATCCTGAATATTCTAGATGGCAATGTCTACTGTAGCCCTGGCAGGCTACATGTTCTTGCATGCCCACAAGCAAGCTGCCGAAGATGCTGCAGAATGTGGCCGACTACGCTTCACGATCCTTCCGAAGTATCATGTTGCTAGTCTCAAACATATACCTTGTTTCGCAACATGTTTTCCCATGTTTGCAGCATCCAGGCATTCGAAGAGTGTTTGAAAGACATCAAGGAGGAATGCTACTCTCCACGCTTCTACCACAATTTTGGTGAAGAAGATTTCAATGGTGTCTTGAAAATTGCTTGCCGCCTCCATGCCGGCGATGGTATGGAAAGACGAGTGCTTCGAGGCTGCCTGCTTAGGCTGGTGGCAGCGAATGCGGCTGACTGAAGCCTTCGGCTGCAAGCAGCCGCCATTTAAATTTGTCGACTGTGCAACTTCGAGCCATCGGTGCTTAGGGATTGGGGCCTATGCTCATTGTTCGTCCGTAAACCCAAACCCAAGTGGAAAATTAAGCCCTATAATTCTGTGGAAAGTTCGATGAGCTGGCATGTCGTTCCAGTTTGCGCGACCAGATCTGCGGGATGCCTCTGCCGCAACAAAGGCGATTGGGGAATTCAACCCTAAACCCTAAACCCTAACAATAAACGGATGCTACGGTTTAGGGTTTAGGAGAAGGCTTCGGGCCCTTCAGCTGTTTAGAAGCCTTGAGATCTCACAGGCCCCTGTTGTATCTACACCAAACCATTTCCAAAGGCTCCTGAAGAACCATACCACCAAACCCTGAGGCTCCAGAAGCCACACCTCACCGCACTCAATCTCCAAAACCTGAACCCATCAAACTCTGAACTGCTACATAAAACATTTAGGGCCCCACGTTGACTTGAAGGCTTCAAGGCTGTCGGATTTTCACAAACTTATTATGTATTCTACGACATTATAACTTGGAGCACCTTATGGTTCCAACAATTCTTTGGTAACCAGATTTTTAAGTAACCGGCCTCAAGTCCTTAAAAAGTTGGCCCCTGAGCCCAAGACCTCACTATATAGGTCCTTGGGATGCATTGGGT